GATCAGATGTTTACAGATGATCAGATGTTTACAGATGATCAGATGTTTAACAGATGATCAGATGTTTAACAGATGATCAGATGTTTAACAGATGATCAGATGTTTAACAGATGATCAGATGTTTAACAGATGATCAGATGTTTAACAGATGATCAGCTTTTCTCCTTCATCAGAAGCAGGTTTGTTTCTCCTACATGTGGAGCAGAAGCAGCTTGTTGTTCTTCAGCTTCTGTAGTTTTCAGTCTCGTCTCTGACAGGTTGGAAAAACAAATAAAAAATACATCAAAGTGCGGCTCGTTCAGGAGCTGCAGCTCTGACTTCACAGCAGAACCACCGGGTCACAGGAAGTTGGACTTTCCACGACTGAAATGCTGTGTTTACGTTTGTAATGGTTTTTAATAGAGTTTAAATGTGTCTGCTTCAGTCCAGAGGGGAGCTGGAACCGAGCTGTTGGTTCTGGACGACCTGGTGTCAGAACCTTATGATGGTTTCTGTAGCAGAAGGATGAAAACTGGCCTCACGTCGAGTTCTGTCCTCCTGCAGGTCGGCTCTACGCCATGCAGACGGGCATGAAGCTGGACAGCAAAACTCCCGAGTGCCGCAAGTTCCTGGTCAAACTCATGGACCAGCTGGAGTCGGTAAGTCCTGTTCCCATCAGAGCGGACCCCCACAGGGAGCAGCGGGGGGGCGAGGGCTGTCAGGAGAAGATGGTTCTGTAAAGTACAGGTCATTTCCTCATTACCTGTACTTTACCCAAGGACCTGAGCTCCCTGATGGGCCTCAGATGGTTGAATTTACTGCTGTTGTGATCATTACAGGAGGGAGAAACACTTTAAACAGCTTCTTACTGAAAACACATTATTACAGTTTTAAACTGTTTGTTTTCCTCTTTGTATAGATTTTAAAGTTTGGTTGTTGCAGCAGACAGAGGGTCTAAAGGTTCATAAAACACATTACACTTCACAGTGGTGGGCACCAGTCCACTAAAGCGCAAATCCGCTAATTGCGGACCTAAATATTGCATTTGTGCTTTAGTGGTATTACTAACTTTTATAATCCATAAGCAGATTTGCGCTTTCTATACTTAAAATGCAGTACAGCTAATAACTAATTATCTACCAGTCATCATTATCTTGAACAGCAGAAGGTATGGCTGTCAATGAATCACAACACACGTGATCTATCAAACAGCACCCCTCCCAGATAAACACACTTGTTGAGAACCTATACATCCTTGCTGATTGTTGCTTTCGGTCAGGGTTCTCATTTCCCACAATGCTTTGTGTCTGCTTACATAGCAGGAAGGCAATGTTTAGAACTACCTGTCCCAGTAAAAACAAGTAACGTTTGTAATCCATACTAAAATTTTGTATGCATTGATTTATTTTACTTTACAATTGGAGCTCCTTTCTTAAAAAAAGGTTTAAACACTGGAGCTCAATACTTGACGTAATTGGTCGAAGCAACGGGGTTAGAGACTCAGAAATGATTTAAAGGGATCCTCGATTAGTTGTAACGTTAGACTTTATTTGGTAAACATATATTTTAACTGTAAAGTAAATACTGTAAAAATACTGTAGGATGTTTAGTTTTTATCATTTTTAAACTAAAAGTTTAAAAATATATTACATGGACAGAGCCATTTCATTTACACGCAAAGCATTCTGGGTAAATGATGACGTGGATAGGTCCTCGGTGCGAGGCTGCTAGCGAGCTATATCCACCCTGAAGGTTAATCTTGGACAATATCTGATGATCGACTCTTTTAAATGAAACCAGAGAGCGTTGACAGAGAGGAGAAGGTAGAAATGACTCAGCTGGAACTGAAAATATGGATGGAGGACAACAGAGCTGCTTCATGGAAGAAGAACCTCAACTTAGCCTGTTAGCTTTAGCTTTAGCCCCTACACTATCACCATATACAGTATATGTATTAGCTCAGCGCTACACATTCTCTTTCGTCACTGAGGTCCTCCATCCACATGACAGAGAGGGGAACACAAAAATGACTCAGTCTGCAACTGAAAATATGGATGGAGGACCTCAGTTTAGCTTGTTTGTCACGCTAGCACCAAGCTAATACACATAAGGCAATATAGAGTCAGCACTAGCACCAAGGCTAACAGGCTAAGCTGAGGTTCTTCTTCCATGAAGCAGCTCTGTTGTCCTCCATCCATATTTTCAGTTCCAGGCTGAGTCATTTCTACCTTCTCCTCTCTGTCAACGCTCTCTGGTTTCATTTAAAAGAGTCGATCATCAGATATTGTCCAAGATTAACCTTCAGGGTGGATATAGCTCGCTAGCAGCCTCGCACCGATGACCCAGTTGACATCATTATTTACCCAGAATGCTTTGCGTGTAAATAAAATGGCTCCGTCTGTGTAAAAATTTATTTTTAAAAATTTACAAAACAAACATCCTATAGTATTTTTACAGTCTTTATTTTACTGTAAAAACATATGTTTTACATATGTTTAAGTCTAAGGTTACAACTAATCAGGGATCCCTTTAAAGATGTTATGCTGATGAAGACTGACATCTAGTGGTCAACTGGAGCAACTACATGGAAAACTTTAAAATCCAAGCTCTTATTTTGAAGGGAAGATAGTTTCCTGTACTCCGTGCTTTTGTTTCCGTCACAAATCAAATCCATCATGTACCCAGAATGCATCGCTTCAGTTTTCCAATAAACAGTTTTAAAATTACTTTATTGATGCTTCTTTAAAGAAAAATCTACAACAAACAAAAGAAAAAGACAAAGAAGCTGCCGAACTAGCAATCCTCAACAACTTTTTAATTTTTACACCAGGAGCCAAAGGTCTGTTTCAGGAAATCACATCCCCAGCAATCGGTGGTTGTAAGATTAAGCTGTAAAAGGGTTCATGCACCACTAGTTGGCAGTGTTGTGCATATATTGTACATGAATTATTGCCTGCTAGTAATTGTCAAATTGATCTTGCGCTTTAAAATTAGCTTTCGCTAGTTTTTCTACGGCATAAGCACTTTTGAAGTTGCGGACCTAAATATTTTCATAAGCACTTTAGAAATTGCGGAGCTAATTTTTGGATTAGCGCTGCCCACCGCTGTTTCATCACAACTGATGCTTTATTTGCCTAAATAATAAAGATACTGTGGATGTGTTTATTAAAAACTGGAGCTGAAGACGTGAGCAGGTTCTTCAGAGATGTTGGATCTTTTAATTGATCAGTTAAAAGCCACACAGTTACATGGTTTGCCCCCGAGGGCAGGTTTTACTGAAGCTGTGCAGGCCTTAATGACGGCACAGAGCCTGGATGTGCCTCTGAGGACCAATCAGATGAGTCCCTGTTTGTGTTGTTGATGACACGTCTGACATGGTTTTTAAAGTGATGATGGATCACCACAAACACTGTTCAGAGACACAGATCACCACGCAGCTGAAGAAAATTAACATTAAGCACATTTTTAATGATGTTAACAACAGTCCTGTGTGGCTCGAACAGTTTATTCAAAAGGTTTTTTAAATTTTTAGGGAAAAATATAAAATATAGAATCTAAAAGGCTCATTTTATTTGACTGATTTATAGAATCAAAGGTTTGTGTAATAAAATAAATAAATAAATAAATAGTTCTGAGGTCAGACAGATCCAAATCTTTAGTTCTGTTTGGAAACAACATTCTTTCTACTAAAAGGAGAGTGAACACCTGCCTCTCTGATGGTATGGGGGTGCATTGGTGCCTTTGGCAGCTGGAAAAACTCCATCAATACAGAAAAGTATCTACAGGTTTTAAAACATCTGAGGACTGTAGAACATCTAGAACTCCCATCGGTCCAGAATGAGACAACTTTTCTTCCAGGACCCCCAGAACTGGTCTCCTCAGGTCCTGGACCTTTACAGACTGCTGTTAGATGAAGAGAAGGGAAACATCAAACAACTTTAAACAAATCTTTTGTTGTTTTAGTTATTTTCTTTTTAGAATTTGGATTTAAGCTCCTCTCTGGTCTGGAGAGTGTTGCTGGGGGGGAGTTCTCGGTATCCGATACTCGATCCGGCAGGTGTAGAACTGTTCTGTCCTCTTGTTGTTTACAGTCAGAAGCCAGAACTTCCTGACAGACTCTTCAGGTGTTTGGACCTCCAGGTCTTCTCCTTTATGCGTTGTTGTATGCAGCTGAGGCTGGTTTCTATAAAACTGCTGAGTCAGCAGAACGCACGCTACAGTGGGTCCCTCCCCGCTGACCCGGCTCGTGTGGACCGTGCTGGACTCATTGGTCCTGTTCTGCATCATCATCCTCATCGCTGGCTCAGCTCTGCAGGTTTTTACTCTGCGGGGTGTAATTAGTTTAAACGTTGCATCAAAAAGCTTTCAGTGGGTTCAGAAACCGTTTTTAGATTTATGGGTTTAAAAATAAACGTCACCGTTTGAAACTTGTTTCTTTAATGTTTCAGAGCGACGTGACGCTGAGATCTCCTTTAACTCTCTGCCTCTTCTCGGTGGTTTTACGTTCCTCCACTCTCACACTTTGATTAAATCTGAACACTAAATCTATTCAGGCCCCTCAGAGTCCACCTACTGTTTTCTTTAGAGCTCTTACTTGAAACCTGAAGCCCCGCCGGGCCCAGGACTGACCCAGGAACTGCAGGTGCTACGCTAGGTGGCGCTCCCTCAGGTGAAAACTTCTCCGCTTCAGGTTCAGTTATCGACAGAACCATGGTCTGTGTCCAGTCTGTGGAAAACTAAACACTGATCACATAGCGGACCAGGTGGAAGGGGGTCTCTGTGGTCCAGGTGGGGTTTGGATCAGAGAGGCTCAGATCCGAGGGTTGTGATGTCAGAATACACCTGTCTGGAAACAGCGTTAGTGACTTCTCCTGATGGCAGAGGTTCTGTCCTTTTGATCTGGGTCATGTTCCGGCTCAGAACCAAGGAGCGGACCCTCTACATCCACACCATCTGGCATCACGCCATTATTACATCACAAAAACAAGTCAGAGTGAAAACACAAAGTATTTAAGTTTGTAGTTTGTTGGCCTGAGAATTAACAATTAAATTAAACATTCTGAAAAAACACACCTCTCAGATAAAACAACAAACAAAGAAATAAATCAAACAGGTGAAGTTTTTATTGTCCAGGATTAGAACACACCGGACACGAAAACCACTACAGGACTGGACTCTGAGGGTCTGAGGTACTTCCTGTTTGTAACATCTTGTTGTTTACAGAGGAGCTGAATTATTCTGCTCCGTTCATCATTGTTTTATTTATTTTGTTTGTTTTTCAGATGAAGAAGGAGCTGAGCGACAACGAGTCCATCACTCAGGAGGTGGTCGGAAATGCCCACATTGAAAACTACGCCTTAAAACTGTTCCTGTACGCCGACAACGAGGACCGAGCCGGACGATTCCACAAGTAAGAAACAAAGGCTTAGAATCACTCACAGCATATCACCCTCCATATGTCACCCACAGCATATCACCCTCCATATATCACCCACAGCATATCACCCTCCATATTTCACTCACACATATCACCCTTCATATGTCACCGACCGCATATTGCCCTTCATATTTCACCTACAGCATATCACTCCATAAATCACCCACAGCATATCACTCTTCATAAACCACCCACGGCATATTACCCTTCATATATCACCCACGGCATATTACCCTTCATATATCACCCACGGCATATTACCCTTCATATATCACCCACAGCATATCACCCTTCATATGTCACCCACAGCATATCACCCTTCATATGTCACCCANATATGTCACCCACAGCATATCACCTTTCATATGTCACCCACAGTATATCAACTTTCATGTCACCGACCGCATGTCACCCTCCATATTTCACCTACAGCATATCACTCTTCATAAATCACCCACAGCATATCACTCTTCATAAACCACCCACGGCATATCACCCTTCATAAACCACCCATGGCATATCACCCTTCATAAACCACCCATGGCATATCACCCTTCATATATCACCCACATGTCACACACAGCATATCGCCCTCCATATATCACCCACAGCATGTCACCCTCCATATATCACCCACAGCATATCACCCTCCATATACTGTATCACCGACAGCATATCACCATCCATATTTCACTCACACATATCACCCTCCACATATCACCATCCACATATGTCACCTACAGCATATCACCCTTCATATGTCACCGACCGCATGTCACCCTTCATATATCACCCTTCATATGTCACCCACAGCATATCACCCTTCATATGTCACCCACAGCATATCACCCTCCATATACTGTATCACCCACAGCATATCACCCTTCAAATATCACCCACATGTCACCCACAGCATATCACCCTTCAAATATCACCCACATGTCACCCACAGCATATCACCCTTCATATGTGACCCACAGCATATCACCCTTCATATGTCACCCACAGCATATCACCCTTCATATGTCACCCACAGCATATCACCCTTCATATGTCACCCACAGCATATCACCTTTCATATGTCACCCACAGCATATCACCTTTCATATGTCACCCACAGCATATCACCTTTCATATGTCACCCACAGCATATCACCTTTCATGTCACCGACCGCATGTCACC